TCCGGCACGCAGTAGAAGGACGCCAATTCATCTTATTCACCGACCATAGGCCCTTAACGTATGCCCTGCATACCAAGTCTGACCGCTACTCACCACGAGAGTGCAGACATTTGGACTATATCTCCCAGTTCACGACAGACCTTCGTCACATTAAAGGCGAGTCGAACTATGTTGCCGATGCTCTTTCACGTATCCAGACGAATGCAGTTACTTCACCGGTGCTCGATCTTCCTGCTATGGCGGCCGCGCAAGCAAACGATTATTTCTGTACAGAAGCACCGCAATCTTCGTCCCTTCAGTGTCAGGAAGTACCCCTAGCTACTAGCTCAGGTACTATCCTATGTGATATTTCTACCGGTCTTCCTCGACCCATCGTACCCTCTACCTATCGCCGTCTCGTCTTCGATGCCCTTCATGGATTGTCTCATCCAGGTATCGCAGCCACATTACGCCTCATCGCTGCACGATACGTCTGGCCGTCCATGAATAAAGATGTTCGTATGTGGGTAAAGCAATGCTTACAGTGTCAACGATCAAAAGTGAACAGGCACGTAGCTGCCCCCATTGGCACGTTCGCTACGCCTGATGCTCGCTTTGTTCACGTTCATATAGACATTGTAGGACCATTGCCACCATCGCATGGGTATGATCACATACTCACGTGCATTGACCGTTTTACAAGATGGCCCGAAGCTATTCCCATCACGTCTATTACGGCGGAGACAGTTGCTCACCGCTTCGTAGAACGATGGATAGCATTGTACGGTTGTCCCTCGACTGTCACGACTGACCGAGGACAACAATTTGAGTTCGCATTATTCTCCTCACTGACCCGGCTGCTTGGTACGGAACGCATACGCACTACTGCCTACCATCCAGCATCGAATGGTTTAGTCGAACGGTTTCATCGCCAACTTAAAAGTGCTCTTCGAGCACACGAAAACGACAATTGGTGCGAAACCTTACCGCTCGTTCTCTTAGGCATCAGAACGAGTTTGAAGGCAGATATCCAATGTTCCGCAGCTGAACTTGTATACAGCACGACATTGCGTCTGCCTGGGGAATTCTTCACACCACGGAGCAGTAATGATTTCGGTAAATCAGACTACGTCCATCGACTGTCTGCATTTATGCGAACGCTGTCTCCGGTGTCAACTCGAATACAACATCGACAGGTCGCTCTCCCTCGAGAGTTATCTACCTGTTCACATGTTTTCATACGAGTAGATTCGGTACGCAAACCTCTACAACAGCCTTACGAAGGCCCTTTTCACGTGATCTCTCGTCACGAAAAGACCTTCAAGGTTGATCGACATCGCCGCGTCGAGATCGTCAGCATTGATCGTCTCAAACCAGCACACGTCGATGACAGTGCCCTACCCGATAACTTGAGACTCAATGCTAGACCTATCAAACCTTCTAGCGGGATCTCTACGTCTACCTCGGATCCCACGCTAGATACATCAGAGACCTCGTTCTCACGTCCCGGTCAACAGCACGCGTCATCTGCACCATCTACGGACGAGACTTCCGTCTCACGTCCAGATCGGCAGACCACGCCGCCCTTGACCTCGGATGAGATCGCAGGCTCACGAAGCACGAAGGAGACCACCGTCTCACGTTCCGGTCGCCGAGTACGATTACCCGTACGCTTTCGCGACTAAACGCACAGTCAATAACGGATACGGTGTAGGATTATTCCTATACTACACGCATGCTACACTTTTCTTTTTTTGATTTCTTTTTGTATCCTGAGCCCACGCCTCCGACCATCGCCCGTTTGATAACGTCTCTTTCAGTCAACTTTGGCAAAAGCTGGTTTGGCCACCCACGCTCTAGTCAACGCACTCAGTCGATTATCTGGTCTCGAATTCGCCTGGCATACGCTTGGTCGTTATGGTCGCGTCCGGTTTCTTGGCTCAACGTGGTTTCGTCCTACGTCTGCAGCGTTTCCTGGTTCACATCCCTACGAACGCAATCATTAGATTCTGAATACAAACCACTCTGGTGTGGTATGCTAATTCGACCAACAAATACAACACACTTCTGGTACCGTTCTGCGCAAAAGACCTTCGTTGGCAACTCGAGGATCAACGATCACTTCCTGTTCCGCCAATTTCCTTCGTCCTACAACCGCACTTCTGCCGATCAGTCCCACGAATCAAACCGCTAACTATCGAAAGTGTAAACTCTTTCTAGCGGGGGGCTCCTGTAGTGACCTACTTTTGTCAACAGAACGCGATTGGTTCGATGAAAACAATTATTATTATAACCAATTGTACCAGTGATTGTTTTATTGTGCTCGTTTGTTTAACTGTGCTAATGACAGCCAATATACTTACTCTCCCGTTGACTTTGAACTTGTACGAATCCGGTTACGCTCAGTAACCACACTTGTACTCCTTTGGCACGATCTCGGTATTCTTTCGATACCACGAGATCGCCAACAAATACATCTCGACTACAGCCATCATCTGTCTTCTGATGTTGACCTACGGGGATCTTATTGGTTTACTGGCACGTAGTCTTGTAGCGGTGTTCATAGTCAAGCTCAACTCGACACCACGCTACAATACCAATCATTTATAGAATACTGATCGTTTTTCTATTTATGAGCACTACATACTTGTACTGCTTAACTAATCGTAGTTACTATGCATTTTAGTGTAACTTTTTAAAATACCTCTGCAATAAATTATTCTTAATTACCATAATTCCACTTTGTTTAACTCTTAAATAATCTTCACCTAAATTTCCATTTTACGAGTGTTAAGAGATAAACCAAACATTTTGAATTTATAACGTATATTTCCCGACCAGTTGCTGCCTCCTTTTTGATTTGTTTTTCAGGTTTACAATACCCGGATGATTCTTATTATTCTTTTGGTAACCCCCAGTACGCAACAACCCCAATCGATATGGTATCGAAACAACGTCGCGATGATTTTGGTGGGAGAGAAGTGTAGTGATAGTGGTCCTAGCCACACAATCCTCTAAGCTGAACATGAGACAACTGGAGAAATAGATATTCAACATTCAACACGGAGAGAAGGTCAACAATGGTGAACGCGGAAACATTCAATAGAATCGGATGGTAATTAAAATAACCCATAGTGTCATTCAATCAGTAAAAAAGAACTCAGCGAAGAAAATTTCCTTTTCGACGAAATTATTTACTTAAGCTGTACATTCGTATGGCATGGGTCGGACTTTTAGGAGTGGTCTTTCTTGTGTAACTTATCTCTTACATTCATATTAAACATATTGTTCTGTCTTCAGCCTAAATATGCTCTTTAGAAACGCAAAGCATTATGAAGCTGATTCTTAGGATACGATGAGTTAGTGTAGATAATGGTGAGACTTCCACGTAAGATCTCATAGATTAGGTAGTCACACCATGACAAATTCGCAATTTTAGGATTAGGTCTATTATCATAGCAGTACTAATACCATAGCAGACCATAACTCTACAAGTTACCCACGGACTGGAAGGACGGAATGGTTAGACCAATGCACAAAACAGGATCACGACGAATTCCGTTAAACTACAGACCTATTAGCCTCACCAGTGTCATAGTTAAAATACTGGTAAGAATAATCAAAGAAATCATAACGACATGCGTGGAAACCAACAACTTGTTAAGCAGTGAACAATAGGGTTTCAGAAAATGGTTATCTAGCACAACAAATCTCCCTATAACAAGAGAGCGACGGATAGAGGCTCTAGAGAATAGCAAATCGGTGGATGCTGTCTATATAAACTTCATCAGAGAATTCGGTAAGGCTAAAAAAATAGACTTCTCTTCAAGCTAGAAAATCTAGGCTTAGCTGAACCTCTCCTAAAATGGGTTTGGGATTTCTTAATAGGTCATAGTCAGAAAGTAAAAGCGAATTCCAAGTGCTCCTCCTGGAAACCAGTATTTAGTGGAGTTCTGTAGGGCTCTGTCTTAGGTCCTTCGATTTTTATACTGTATGTAATGAGCTCCCAAGTATAGTTGAGTCTCAAATGTTCCTATACGCTGATAGTGTGAAAACCTGGTGAAAAGTAACAGGAGACATAGATGCGTGATCACTTCAGATTAGCTGGTCTAGAAAGTGGCTGATGTCTATCAACGCGGCCAAGTGTGTCTACATGCACTTTTTGGATACAAAAGTAAATAGATACAGCATAAGGGAAGTGCCTGTACTCGTAATCTGGTTTCACAAGGATCTTGGAGTAACAATGAGTTGTGGTCTTAAGATTATGGCCTATTGTTATGAGGTCGCAGCTAAGGGGCTTAGAGCCCTGTGTTTTATCATGTTAGATATTACAATGTTCACTACAGTGTACACAACCTTAGTGGGATCTAAACTTGAGAACTGCATTCAGGCTGCAAGCCACTGTTTATAAGGTGACACTGATACCCTGGGAAAAGTGCAGACAGCAGCTTCCTGGGTAGGTCCATAACTCCGGGGTTTACCATACAAAGAACGGTTTGAAAAGCTAGATCTCTTAACTTCGTCCTATCGCAGGTAAGAGGTGATATAATTTAGATGCATAAAAAACTAAGAAATTACTTAGGACCTAATATATCTTCTTTCTTCTTCCTACTAAAGCGGTACAACTCAGAGAATATAGCAGGCGAGTAAAAAGCCATGCACGAACAAAACATTCGTGGCATACATGTTTTCATACCGATTCATCAATTCTTGGAATCTATTACCAGAAGCAGTGATGCCCTCACCTTCAATCGATTCATTCCAGAGGAGACTAGACAATCACAAAAGATTTATAACAAGGATAAACATAGACCGTAGGCGGCCCATCCTTACTAAACAAATCTGAATCTAACTCTGAAGTCTTGACTGTCCATGTGAATCAAATTTATGTTGACGATTCAGTTTGCCATCTTGTACCTCCAACTTCCAAAGTATGTGGATATTGTAATGCAATCGTCACTATCAGTAAATAAGAAAATTTCTTCAGTTTTGCAAAACAACTTGGAACCGACTGAATCTCAGGGTCGCCTTTGGGCGTGTAACTGGCGGTTATCTCCATCCTGTCGTATCTCCAACTCATCTGTTACGACCTGTTCTTGCTAAGATGGTAATTCTGAGAGCATCCTCAATTGTTAATTTCTAGATGCAATTTTTGATCTTGTTTAGCCGCCAGGGAAAATTAAGGCTTCAGAAGTGGTATATTTCCTATTCTGAAAAGGAAAAGAAAAAAATTTTACGCGATCTCACTACAATTGTGCTTTCACGAAAGCCAAAAATGTGTTCATTTATTGAATGGAAGGACTTGAAAGTTGTTTATCGTCGGCACGTTCATTCCTGTTTTATAATTAACGTTTTTAGTTATGCTAGTCTATACTTCTGTGCTGCAGTTGAACCCCAGGACAATGAGCTATTGACTTTGGAAATAATCCACAGATATGTGGAACTTTTAGATAAGTATTTTGGTAGCGTAAGTTGAGCCTCTAGAGCTTTCATGTTACTTCAGTATATTTTCATAACATTGCGCAGGCAGGTTATCCATATTCTAACCGTATAAATAAAAATCAAGACGTTTCAAATGACCCTATTTTTGTGCTTGTTGGAACCCATAACAGTTATAAAATTTATTCTCAGAGAAACCTCGTGTTGGTTGTAGTCTGCTTAAATGAAATTAACTTTGTATCTGGGTAGGTCAAACTAAAACCGATTTAAATGGGACGTTAAGTTTTATAGTAAATCGAGTGCCTTACCAGGAGAATTTTAGCTCTTGTAGTTATTAGAGTTATTTGGAAAGGGTTAGCCTCAGTATTTCTCCACTTTCAGACAGTAGGTTGCAGTTCCGAAACCCGCATCACTTAATTCGGTTTGGGTAGCTGTGGTGTATCAGCTCGGCGCCGAAAGCTGCGGGTTGCATAAAAACACGTATACATGTTGAAAGGTAACAGCAGTTGAACTGTAACTTTGTTGTAGCTTTTAATCAATCTAAAGCTTCAATAGAGTGCTACGCAATTAGGTAATATGTATATATGACCATAATGGTACGGCCGAAAGTGGGGAGAGTCCGCTCTCCCTCTCGAAATACTCTCACATGGACACGCGTATATAGCCTCTGTCAGGGAATTCCTACTCACTGCCTTCTCGAGGACGAAAAGCGAATGTCCTGCGCTTTAACCGGATCCCAAACCAATGGTGCACATGGGCTCCAGTACCCTGAGGGAACAAATGGCGTATGAACCATGGAACTGCACCTCCTTACGATGCTCCACTGCCTTGTGGGTCAGACATTCAGGTCGAAGGCTTGGGGTGTGGTCCCCTAAGACAACCACCTGCTTCGGTTTGGGCACCCGAGCAGTATCACAGCCCTCACACATATCAATTGAGATTTGTGTGGCGCATATATATTTGGTGCCTCCTTGTACCAATATCTATGTGTTAAAATAAATAAATAATCACCTTTTTCAGGCATAAATTCTTGTACATTTTGTTAAAAAACCTATAGAACGAAAAAAACTCTCTTCAATTAGTTTTTTATCATGGTTTCATATTAATGTATTTCGCAATAGTGAGATAGTACCCATCGAGTAGTTGTACTACTCAATAAATATATAATGCCTCGATTATCAAATACTACTGAGTAGTCGGAACAAGAAAATTATAATAAAAGCAATTGTCCGGAAAATCGTACGGTTGCTACATTGCATAATTACGTAAAGCAACTACTCGATCATTATTATTTTATTGTAAGTCATTCATATATATATCGGTGTAGAGCCATGATGGAAAAATAGTTGAATATTAATTTTATTCTTTCTATTCGTTCTTTTTACTAAATTTTAAGATGGGATCTTCACTACTCTCGTACTTTTTTTACTTGTTCGTTTAAAATTGGTTTAAATTCGTTTCAAAAATTGCTTCCACTGCTTTTAAGCTAAATTTTGATCTGTAGATTGGAAATGCAATAAGCCAAGATGTTAGTGTAATGCTTTATATGTTTTAACTTACTGCCACAACCACACTTGATACTATGAACCATAGAAAGATACAAATTCTTCACAATATAAACAACCAGCGTGCTTCAGGTAGATACGTTCTCATGGAACACAACTTCATAAGGGTTTGTTCAGCGATCGGATAAGCAAGATCGGGTTCCAGAATTTGATGGATTACGTGATAGATTGTATACTTTATAACTAGCTCCAGAAGTTTATTTGGATTATTGAATACGCTCTTGTTCTTTCTCACTCTCATTTGTCTTTCCCTGGCCTTTAATCATTTATCTTTCGCTGCTATGATTTTCTCTTACTAAGTGAAACAGTTAAAAGTAATTTACATTTCCACTGTAATTGTTATTGTTTCTGCTTCCAAAACTTGCTGTGCCCTAATATCTTTCCATCTCTTGGTTTAAACGAAAAATATTTCGTAAATAGTAAAACACTATACGATAATTTTAAGCATTTGAGTGGAGGTCAATATAACTCAATAGCCAAGTACATTCTTCGTACTCAACCTAGGATCACACTCTACGAACTACCCAAAACAAAGTAGATAAGGCGAGTTTCTAACCTCAAACTAACTGCTTCAAAGGTTGAGTGCGCACGCTATTGAATACCAACTTAGCGTATTTAAAATTTTGTCATTAAAATGTCGATCAAATATAAGAAATCACCAGTTTTTTCTTTATACGATAAATAATATGACTTATATTTTCGATTAGGTATGTGAACTCGACATTATATTCCATTTTGAAAAGGCATACTACGTATTAGATGAGTTTATGTTAGGAGGAGAAGTTCAGGAGACTGGCAAAGAAAGCGCTTTAAACGACATTGACATGCAAGATTTAATTCAGGAGGTAAGTTGAGTTTCAATCTCATATTTGCATATTGTATTCCTCATTTTATTGTACTTGCTTTGTTACCCTTTTTATCAATAAATATTTATCTTAATATTATTTAAAGGAAGAGGCACCTCAAGGATTTTTCGAAGAACAAGGTATTTTATCCTTTGTTTACTGCATGAGAAAATGGAACATTTATCTGCATGTAAACGCACACTTTATTTAAAAACCACTTCTTTGTACATTTAGTTTAGTAGTTTTGATGGTTTCAATTTGTCTTCCATTGTTTTTCTTGTCCTGTTTGGTACGACATTAAAGTGATCAAATGTGGTTATATAATCCGTCGTTTAATAAGTGTTTAACTTCTTCCCAATCCACAAAGACTTGGAAAAATAACGACATAATCTTTTAACAAATCGTCCTACATGAGCTCTGCGTTGAATTTTCCTCGCATTTGGATATGCCTCTTCTTTAACTATCCCTCCATTCCATAATAAAAGGATATGATATGATAACCTGTGACTTGTGTGCCCTGTTTATTGTATAACGTAACGATATCGCCAATCAGAGAGCAGTGAATTATCGATCGAACCAGTAACACATAAAACCCGTACGAGCAGTTTAGAGTCCTTATTGGTCCTGCTTTCCGCCTAATCCAGCCAGTTAAGTCCGGAACACCAATCTCAGCCTCTGCAATATGAATAGTTTATTTCAAACATACTGAGTTTATATACCAAGCAGACAGACCACATCGTACTATAAAATATGAAACAACATTTGTACAAGAGTCAGCCAAATGTGGCTGTGAATGAGGGAGGTAGTAATTAATAGACAGGGCGTACAGTAATAGTTCTTAAGTCAAAATAAAGCTCACAATAAGATGGACATGAATATGAACAGTTTAGTTACTTGACAATCATAAGATAAAAATATACGCATAGTATTGGTTCATAAATGGATCCCAAAAGTTACCATTCATTATGCTTATTGGGATATAACACCTCCTCTTCTTTGAAGATCCGGATTTTAAATTTTCCGAGTTTATCCTCCCCCGCGAAATAATGTTGGATCCTCATATTCCCAAGTTACATTTAATGTGGCTCTATTTATAACATACTTTCCGCATTCAATAGAGAATCTGCTAGAACTGGCTGGATGGTGAGGATCAAAAACACTTGATATGAGGTCAGAGTTTGGTTCTTCTGAAACATTTACATCAAATTTATTGAAAACCTCATTAGTAGATGATGGATCATTAGGGTAAGCAGCATTTATCGAAAATACACTAGGTTCTCGACTGTCATTTGATTCATGTGACATATTTTCTGGTAAAACAAGAGAATCCCGATAATTAGATTCGTCAGAAAATTCTATCGCAGAAAGATGAGCTCCATCTAGTGCAGCTGCATTCAGTGTACTGCTCGATTTGTCTTCTGTTTCTTCGAGGGCGGTTGCTGCGACACTTTCATGACCATTTAACAGGGCATCGGCTTTTTGAGAGCTGGATAAGTCACTGTTTGCACATGCTGTTTCAAGGATAATAGGGTTTGAATCCATTACAGGGCATGTTTCTGGAATGGACAGTACTGGACCACTACGACTGGAAGGATCTTGAATGACTGTTGTTTCCTTTAAATTGCGGTTTGTCGAGAATTCATGGAGGCTGCAATCATTTTCCAGCTCTGTGTGCAATTTAGAAATTAATCTATCCACTTCCGTCGCATCTCCAAAGTTATAACAATTGGCGACGGGGTGAAAAAAAGTCCTGAACCCTCAATCTACGAAATAGAGAAAATTCAAAGCCTGCAGAATTTAAACGAATTACTTTTAACATTGTAGATTTTTAAAAATGACTGATCAATGTTAGCATCATATTTCGTCTGAATCAGGTAGGCTTAGATAAAACTTTCGATTTCTTTGTTTAGCTACGTTTGAAGATGTTCACAAACGTGGAAAAGTGAATTACTAGAACATCTACCAATCTGATTTGCTCTCTAGAATCAGTCTAACTCATGGATACGAAAAAAGGTGGCCAGTACATATGGTTTATCTCTCGTTCTTGACATCACCATCGAAGCCGACCAAAGCATTATTTGTAGTTCACCAACTGCTACGTTTCCCTCTGTGTAGTATCCCATTAACTTCACTCTACTTCTGCCAAATCAGAACATGAATTAAGTGGAAACTATATATTCCGAAAAACTCGAGTAATAAAATATCTAGTGGTGAAAGAGATTGCATACGGTTTATGGGTAATCTAGTATGTTCTCGGTTCATTCATAAGGATTAATTAGTATAAAATGGACTTATCAGTGTAATATGATTTGGGTCTGACCCCAGAGTGTATTAGTTAAATTCCTTCTCTCTTTATCTCGTTTTAATGTCATTTTTACATAGTATTATTGACTTTAATCGTTTAATATTCGTCTTGCTACGGTGATATTGGGTGCAGCAACATCAACCTATATATGTTTTTAGCCGGTCCTACGTTGTATATATCCATTTATTTGACTTTTTGAAGTCACTGGTGTTTATCTTAACTTGTTACAAACAACTGTTTTTTTTTACCTATTTCGTCTACATTCTAAGCTTAATGAAAAAAATATTGATATCGTACTCAAAACCGTATATCCGATTATGTTAAACCAACTTACTTGTTTATTGTTATTATAAGCATTGGTAATCTCATGTTTTATGGATTTCATTGTTCTGTTGTCCGCGTATGGCAACTTGGTTCAACTTACAAGAATTAGTATGTTGTTTAAAAAAGTATTACATACTAATATATGATTGTAATCGTTCTATCTTGTCTTCATACATAGGACATGCCCTTATAAGTCCCTTATTATTGCTTTCCTGTAAGACGATTAATATAATTTTAGAGATTAGTCGCTTCATAATTGAGCACGTTTCAAAGGGTAGAGTTATACACTGTTTGTCTACATTGTAAAATTCCTCTTTAGCTTTTGCTTTTATACGTGCCTTTATCACAAGTTTTGTAGCACCTACATATATATGGCTGTTTCATTGTGTATTTAAATTGCAATCTATGTTGTGTTTTTGTCCTTTGTTTATCCATGTAAACGGTGTTGGTATATTTTTTGTTGACCGTGTATTTTGTTTACCATTGTTTATTACTGTTTACTCACTGTAATTGCTGTGCACGCTCATGCGTCATACTACATTGCATAATCTTGATCAATAGATTGTCATTTAGTTACTGAAATTTGAGGAGTAATACCATTCTTTGATTTCTGTAACTCATTTAAGTAGTACATGTCTATATGTAATGGTACTACCCGGTTACTTATGCCACTATATGTAGGGTGAGGTTCGCGTTCCTAACTCAATCATTAAAAGTAAAATATTTCAAGCATTTCACTCTTCATCCTATAAGATTTTAATCCAACACTACAACTGTCACTTTTCCCGCAAATAGCTTGGCGTTAGAATGCTAGACTAGTGATTTAAAACCCAAGGTAGTACTAATTTTTGTAAAATCAAATTTCTGATATTATCCTTGTGTAAGGTAGGACTACAAGAAAAATATAAGTTCACAATTCATTGATAACTATATTCGATCGAATAATATTAAGTCTCGTTGAATGTTCAATTCACTCGCTTTATTTCTTTAAAAAAATTTTCCCAACCATAGGAGGAGTGTAAAACCAAAGAAGAACAAGCTGATATAAGTGTGGTCGATGTTTCTGGATTTTAAAATCATTTCTGTTTCCTTCAGAGATAATAAATTATTTGTTTGACTTCTATATACATTCACTTCAGGATAAGTATGTGATGTGTTCGTAATTAAATTGTGCAAAGTACTCAAAAATTATTTACTTCTTGCAAACTTTTTTTAATTTGTCTCTGCTCACTTTTCTGTTGTTTTGATTAATTTTCAAATATAAATTCTAGCCTCTCTCAGCAAACATGTATACATTTGAGTTAATTCTTTTTGTTCATTCCTTTTACTAAATTATCAGTTAACTTTCTTTAATGTAATTTCCCCACATATGCCTTCCATCTAAAAAAAGACATCCTACTGCTCAAACCAATTTTGCATATCATTATTTTACAAGAAAATATTACTATTACCTCCGATAATACGATTTACTTCCTGTGGTGGTTTTTTATATTTGATCAACATTCCAAGTAAATTTAATTATTTATTTTGTATTATTAGCTCTGTTTTGTAATGGTGATAACTTTTATTTTTAAATAGTTTCATTGTATCGTTTTTGTGACATTTACTTCAATGAAAACGGTTCTTTCATTTTGTTTTTTTAAAAATGCATTTTATATAATGTTTGTATTTTTCTGAGTCATTGTTTTAACTTTCCTCTGTTCAATATGTACGACTGCTCAAACGCTGTGATGATAATTAGTATACATTTGGTAGTAGGAATGAGTAATTATAATAAATATTACTGACTAGACTAACCTTAAAGTTCACACTGTTATATTGTCTGTTATAGTGTTAACTTGATGTTATTGTGTGGTGAAATGTACTGAAACTATCGTATTTGTATATAATGATCTGGCTAACAACCACATTTATAAATTTGTACACATTTCATTGACCTCATGTGTTCCTTCAAAATGTGCATGATTATTTACAGACCTTAAAACTCAGTATTAAAGTAGAAAAAATAATTTAAACCGTAGCTTTTATTCAGGTAAATTAACATAACAGCTTTTGTTTATGTTAGACATTTCGTGTCTGGAAAAAAAAACAGAATAGTTGTTGAAGGTTGTAATGATCTAAAACTGACTAGCCAGTGACACTTAAAAGAAACACAGAAATCGATGTCAACAAAGTCTTAGGTTACTGTTGTATTATGATAAATTTGGTATTATTCGTTTTGTTTTTCAAACTTTTGAGAGGAGTATCCATGTTATTCGGCACTTGCCTTCCAGAAATATCCAAGAATGACTACTTTTATTTCTTTCTTGATTTGTAAGTATGAAAACTGTGGTTACTTCAATTCTCTGTCAGGCCTTATATTAAAAGACTAGTATTTGACTAGTGTATTGATTACCACTGATTGACCTGATTTTAGGACGAAATACTAGTGATCGTTTTTCTCATTGATTCTGCCACTCTCTTAAAAAAGCAACTTGGTAGTACTTGATGAGTAACCAGTTACCCTGCTAACTGTTTTTCCAAACACACCTTTGACTATTCTAGATTGCTATCCAGTCATAGTGTAAATATCCTAATGCTCAAAATCATAGTTAAATTCACATCAGTGAAGATTGAACAAGCAAGTTAATAGGCAAGAGTAGTATATAATTATCTGTGTTTAAGTCTCTTAACAGAGCTAAAATTATCAAAATAAATATGTAAACTGTCAATCTTACATGATGAGTAGTTATTTTGATATTTGGAGGGTAGTTTAGTAGCTGGATAGATTTCCATGTTTTACAATTGATTTTGTTTTAAAAAATTCATAACTTTTCGAGCTAATTTATTTGTTCCAGAAGGTCAATTTGTATTCGTAATACGATTAATTCTATGGAATTTGTCATCAGATAAAGGAGCCTTAGTCTACGTTCCAAAAATCTGAGTGTATAAAACCATCACGAATATGCAGAAGCTTCCCTGATACTTCAATGGAGTACAGCTATATACAAGTATACATCATAAGATTCTGTAAGAAAGTGATATTAACAGAAAAATATTTAGTGATCGCGGGTCACTAGGAAGATGTTATGTTCAAGTTCTGTACTAGCCCATAACTTACAATTCTTAATACTATTAAACACTTAATGGTCCTTTAGGTGATGTAAAACTTTTGGTGAAATCTGTCATCAAGACTCTAAATCAATCCATCAGGATGAACACTACAGTTTTTCAAAATTACTACTGAATTTCAGCATTTTATCTTGAGTGGATTTTGGTAAAGTATATTGTCTTTAGGCAAAGTATCTTGCTCCAGCTTGCTCTTAGTTTTCATATAATAGATATATGATTCTTAGTTAGTAGTATGTTATCAACGTTCTTTAATTTGCATTTTGTTGGGATTTGGCTATTTTTTTTTATTATGGATCTGTTTAATCGGGTGTATTGGGGATGTATGGAGGACAGTTACTTTCCCATTTCCCTCACTATGGAAAAATACTTGAAAAGGAAACTAAACTAGTAGAGGTCTTGGCGACCACAGAATCCATGAGCTCTTTGTGGGTTCTAGATTTGTTAGCTCCTTGCTTTAAAGGCCTTATCACCAGAAACGAAAATCTATTTGGTAAGGTGTGCTATTTTTAGAGCCACCTTTACTAACCCCTTCCATTGTAGGAAGGTAGATGCTGGTTGTCTGAAAGAAATACCTTGCTACCGTCATAGCTCAGTGCAGTTAGCAATACAACTTCGCCCTCAGAGCTTAAGGTGTTGCTTTTAGCCTTACTGTCCTCCTACCGACCTGTCTGCGATGATAAAACCGAAAGGATCGATGACCAAACCTGAACATTTTATCAAGGGACCGGCTATCATCAGGAATTTGTTTCATCTAACACTACGGTGTTAGTTTATTTAATATGTACCGAATACCACTCACCACTTCACCTTATTTCTAGGATGTCCCACAGTTTATTAAACAACTTCGATTACTTTATTGTTAAATTATTGTTAACACTGAAGGGTATGATGGATTTCAGCATACAACTACTTTTTTATTATTAGTCACCATAACAGTTAGAATTTCATCCTAATTTCATTTATTCTCTAGACTAAGTAGTTTCATATCGTCCTTTGCCTGCGAATGTCTGTTGGTATATTCAAAATGGTGATGGGGTATGATGCACATAATTAACTGTTGAACCCTCCTATCAACTTTACCAACATAGCTAAGTAGGTTACTGCGACATAATTGATTGATAAATTGTAGAATGATTGAAGTGTTTGAGCTTACAATTCACCAACTGAACGGATGCCAGAATCCCAACTGAATAGATTTCTGAAGGCAGATCGAGAAAGAATGTAACCTGGAAATAAACGTATGAGACTCCGTTTGGAATATGTTTCTACTTTAAGAATAGGGTATATTATGAATTTTTATAAAATTGAATAAGATCTATGTACATGTAACTTTTATACCTGATTCATAATTTAGCTTATTTGGACATTCATAAACTAATAAAAAGTTATAATATTCAAGAGATCGTTCTAAGTGTTGCTCATTTTCAGTCATGTAGTATAATTTAACCGACTGTCAAACATGTTACAAGATTCTAATATTTATTTTAACTAGTTTACAGTTTTGAACAGATCAAAATCAATCGTATTCGAATGTTGTTCAAGTCCACTTTTTTTATGAGTACCATTGGTATATAGAAATAGATTTATACTTATTTTATTTTATTTGAACACATAGATATTGGTACAAGGAGACACCAAATACATATACGCCACACAGATCTCATTTGATATGTGTGAGGGCTGTGATACTGCTCGGGTGCCCAAACCGAAGCAAGTGGTTTTCTTAAGGGACCACACCCGGAACCTTTAACCTAAAGGTCTGATCCACAAGGCAGTGGAGCATCGTGAGATGCAGTCCCATGGTAGCCGGTGACTAACGATTGGTTCATACGCCATTTGTTCCCTCAGGGTACTGGAGCCCATGTGCACCATTGGTCTGGAATCAGGGTTTCCCAACTCCCCTAGGTGGACTCTCCGTGTCCACCAACCCGGTTAAAGCTCCGGAAATTCGCTTTTCGTCCTCTCAATTTCGTAAACAACACCCCTGCCACGAGAAGGCTGTGAGTAGGACTTCCCTGACAGAGGCTATATACGCGTGTCCATGTGAGAGTATTTCGAGAGGGTGAGCGGACTCTCGGCATTATCATAAGATTTTGAGTAGTTTTATTTGTTCATTCAAGAATGTTAAATGCTTTGTATCAACTACAAAGTTATATTTCCACGATACAGTTACAAGCATCTTTATTTCCATAACACAGAAAAATCATGTTATCCATCATTTAAATACATGCTTGTAACACCAGAATTTATTTTATGAGATTATCTTTCTTTTCAGGGTCATTCTTTAACTGCATCTATCTTTATAGTTATTGTTTAGATATTTTTTCAGTATGATAATTGAACTTAATTGTAATGAACACGTCTTTACAGCTTTTTAATCAAGTACCTTATGTGTTTTAGGTGAGGTAAGATCAATAAATAAATAAGGTAAGATGAACTCCAGTAAATTTTACTTTTGAGAAACTTATTATAGGCTTGCCATCTAATATTGATAATGAATTACAACTTATTTAATACAATGACTATTTTTTGATGTTTGAGCAAAGATGGACGATGGCTAGTAGTGGAATGTACTCGCTTCGGCGGTACATATACTAAAATTGGAACGATACAGAGAAGATTAGCATGGCCCCTGCGCAAGGATGACACGCAAAATCGTGAAGCGTTCCATATTTTTTGGCCCCCAAATGCCCTGGTACGGCCGAGAGTGGGGAGAGTCCGCTCTCCCTCTCGAAATGCTCTCACATGGCCACGCGTACATAGCCCCTGCCAGGGAAGTCCTACTCACTGCCTTCACGTGGCGGGGGTGTTGTTTACGAAATTGAGAGGACGAAAAGCGAATTTCCGGAGCTTTAACCGGACCCAAAACCAATGGTGTACATGGGCTCCAGTATCCTGAAGGAACAAATGGCGTATGAACCAATCGTTGGTCACCGGCTACCATGGGACTGCATCTCCTCACGATGCTCCACTGCCTTGTGGATCAGACGTTCAGGTCAAAGGCTCGGGGTGTGGCCCCCTAAGAAAACCACCTGCTTCGGTTTGGGCACCCGAGCAGTATCACAGCCCTCACACAAATCAATTGAGATTCGTGTGGCGCATATGTACTTGGTGCCTCCTTGTACCAATACCTATGTGTTAAAATAATAAATAGTAGTGGAATCCAAGACGCACGTTTCATTCTATTTGCCACTATATTTCCAGTGTTTACGGTTTTTCTTTATAAATTAGCAACACTTATCCTTTTTCATCAACCTCATAGTTCAAAGAAAACCGTTTATGGGTAATTTTTTTCATATCTGTCAAACAAAGTTCACCCAGAATCAAATAAGTACTGTAGCCTTTCTCATTCACCGAACAATATATTTCGTACAGATATTAGTCTTTCCACCACTCGGATGTGCTAAGTTTTAGCTGATCCCAATTCACACTGACGTGTATATTCTACTGTCTTAAACATTTTGTACCGATAACCGAATCAGTCCTAACAGTTTGTTGTGTACAAGCATGCTTTACCGATAAACATGTTCAATATACATTGACAATTCATAGACTTCTTGTAGAATCTTAGGCCAATTTGTAGACAAGTAAACATCGACTTTCTATATGACAAAAATCACACTTAGCTTTATACCACTTTAGATCAAGAAAATAATGCAAAAACCGTAGATTACTACCAAAGAGTGTGTATAAATTTATAAATGAAAATGTTTTTTTTAATTTCTAGTTCGTAAAGGATTGACCTATATAAGTCGGTGAAAAACTCATTAAAATTCATCTCCAGAATATTTTATGATAAATTATTCATTTTCTAGTTAGGTATTTTGTCACCTCGAATGTGCATAACTTATTTACTTGATATCAAACACTAAGTTTAAATTGTTTGGAGTAATTCACTGGCTCACGGATATCTGAGCTACAATGTAGTCTTTAAAAAATAACACAATAATACTGAATATCTCAGGATTAAATTGTCTCTCTTTACTTGAACTTTCATTTAAATGATCTTTATTAATTTTCATTTAAAATGCCCTGACAAGTATATATGTGACCAGATTGTTCGAAATGTATGGTGCAAACACATCACATTTTTCAGATCCACTCTATCTTCTCATTGCTTTATCGAAATTCATAAAAAGGACTAATTGCTTTAAATCCTTGGAAAAAAGACTCCCTTCGTCTTGCATTAAACGGTTAGATGAACTTGCTAATCTGAAGTGCAAAATTGCATCTGAAAAGGTAAAACTGGAGTTTTACAAGACTAGCATTATTACACACACATTTCCAAGACAGTTTTACGATCCAATAAGTTGCACCCAAATGTTTCTAATTTTTTGTGGCTTACGAAATCTCATAAGAAAAATGTGATGATATGATAAATAAACTAATTGAACTTCATATCCATACATCATGTGCATTATCGAATATTTCTCTTATAGGTCATAATAAATTTATGAACTTTTGCAGTACAGTGGTTGCTAAAAAAATTATACTACTAAGCAAAAGCTGAGTGAATCTCTTATAGATGATAATGATGGGAATTCATTTCAATTTAACCCTGATAAATATGTATCAAATTTACCAACTGTTAGGCTTTCTGTATTTCAGAAAGAAACCACATCACTCGGATTTAATTTCTCCGTTGCACATGCCAAGATTTCTGATCTATCGATAAATGCTTGATTTGAAAATCTCTATGATCAGTCGAACCCTCTTGTCCCAACCACCCTAGATAAGAAAAATTGGTTAAAAGTGAAATTGGTTGATGTTGCCCACCACTTTCACGGATCTCAAACCAGATACAGAAGTATTTTGACTTCTAAACAATTCGCCGCTTTAAAAAAACCTTCAAAACAGGTCATATTGTGATCCTCAGACCTGACAAAGGTTCAGCAGTGGTTGTTACTAATAAATGTGACTATAGAGAAGAAATGTTATCTACACTTGGTGACCAGGGTAAGTTCTTGCAGGACGTTTAATCTAATATTAATGTTAAAGAATTGGAATTCAGAGTCAAGTTCAGTCTAATAAGCTTCATAAAATGAATGCTAAAAACAAAGAGGAGTTTAATACACTAAAACCTTCGGGTTCAGTTCTTCCGATTTTATATGGATTACGCAAAATTCACAAATCTAATAATCCATTACGACCAATTTCGTCTATGCGTGATTCTCCCACACATGAGCTAGCTATATGGTTAGTAAAATTGCTAAACCCAATTCGTACTAAACTATGTAAGTTTTCTCTCGACCGTGGCTGCTATCTTGACGTGGTGGTCGGGCTTGCCTATCGTGATTACCCAACCGAGCTATATTGGTTGGAACATATGTTGCTGTAGGTTCTACCATACCAGGCAGGTCGATTGGAGAACGGTAAGACTAAAAGCAGCAACTCAAGGTCTGAGGACGAAGTCGTACTGCTGACTGTACAGAGGTGTGACAGCAGTAAGGTGTTTGCCTCGGACAATCAGCATTTGCAGCGATGCTACCTTCTCACAAGGAAGGAAGGGGTTAGAAAAGGTTGACCCTAAAAATATAATACTACCCACCTTACCCCACGGATTCCGTCTCCGGCGGTAAGGCCCTTTGAAGAACGGAGCTAACACATTAAAAACCTTCCACAAAAGACCGTGCGCGGCTCAAAGAACAAATAACGGCGACCGTCTGTTGCAACTATGCTCAGATAACCGCCTGTTTCTTGCAAATACTAACTTTAAGCATAAGGAAAAACATCTTTTACCATAGCGACCCCCTAATTCGTCCCAATGCTGGACCCAAATAGATCACATCGCTATCAGCCACCGATGGAGGGGCTCGATAGAAGACTGTTGCTCATTCTGGAGCACATGCTTAGACTCAGATTATGCTCTAGTGCGAGCGCGTATTTGTCTACGTCTTACTGGACGTAAGAAAGATGGTACAAGGAAACCCCTTAGAGTCCTACTTAATGATAGTAAAGCTAAGAGTATATTTCAGGAACAACTAGAAAAACAGTTAGGCAGCCATGCAAGTGATGCCCACCCCGAGGTAGCGTGGAATGACATCCGAAAAGCTGTAGAAGCAGCAGTGATGTCTGCAAGTACGGTAAACTACAAGGTTAGGGAGAAACACTGGATCTCAGCAGCGTCGACTGCCCTGATAGATGCTCGAAAACCATTCCATCTGGCTCTGAACATAACGAAGAGCGAAGTCAGCTTAAGCGTAAGCTGACTAGAAGCCTACGCAAAGATCGTGAACAGTGGTGGGTAGCGAAAGCAAGAGAGATGGAAAAGGCAGCGGCAATAGGTAACAGCAGGCAATTGTTCAGACTTGTTAAGGAAACCGGTATTAGGAACCCAACTGTTAGCGAAACAATCTCAGAGAAAGATGGACATATTATTCATTCTCAACCCAGGAGATTGGATCGATGGGCAGAACACTTTAAGGATCAGTTCAACTAGTCTCCAGGCACACTTCAGCTTTCCACGATCTCCAATCGACCTGAATGGCAAGTTAATGTAAATCCTTCAACTCTTCACGAAGTTGAAAAAGCTATAGGAAATCTGAAGCGTGGGAGAGCAGCAGGCCCTGACAGGTTTACCCGTGATATTTTTAAGGATGGCGGTCCAGTATTAGCACCGAGATTGACTGAGGTCTTGGGTAGAATCTGGGAACTGGATGTAATCCCATCTGACTGTCTATAAGAAAGGACAGAAGTCCTCGTGTGACAATCACGGAGGAATCCGTTTGACTAATATAGTGTCTAAAATATTAGCTTCAATATTACTTCGACGTCTAACCAAAGCTCGTGAAATGCAGACTAGAGAAAACCAGGCTGGTTTCCGACCTGGACATGGTTGTATAGATCAGATATTCCCATTACGCCAGGTCCTAGAACATAGACACACATTCAGACGCCCCACAATGGTAGTATTTCTCGACCTTAAGGCGGCATTTGACTTTGTTGATCGTGAGGTTCTATGGCAGTGTTTGTCACTGAAAGGAGTAAAGGCTCTCTACTCGAACACAACTGGTCGAGTGAGAGCTTATAGCGAACTGTCATCAGAACTGATTACCTCAAGTGGTGTTCATCAGGGCTGTCCACTCTCTGCATTCTTGTTTAACTTTATCGTTGACGTGCATTTAGAGATGACACTTTCCTCACCTGAATTTCTAGGGGTTGAACTTCTACCGGGAGATTCACTTGTTGTCTTAGAATATGCCGATGACATAGTTCTATTTAGTGAAGACGCTGACAGAATGCAGAGTCTGCTGACCACCCTAAGCAACAATGCAAGCATGTTCGGGATCCGATTCTCCTCCTCGAAATGCAAAATGTTGCCTCAGGATTGGATTACACGGACAACTGAACTAATGATAGAGAGTGAAGTAGTTGAGCGTGTCGACTGCTTGACTTATCTAAAGTCTCATCAGCCCTTGTGGTTTAGTGTGATGAAATCTCAACACGGATACAAAGGCCCAACTAGCTTTTGCTAACTTGAGTCATTTATGGCGTAGGCGAGATATCCGTCAATCAATCAAAGGACGTGTTTACTGCGCAGCAGTTCCTTCTGTCCTACTTTATGGCAGTGAAACATGGCCCGTAAGAGTAGAAGATATTCGTAGGTTACTAGTCTTTGATCATAGGTGTCCTCGTACCATTGTTCGCATATCATGGGACCACCGAGTAAGTCATGTACTTGTTAGGAAACGGGTACTAGGTAGGGATGGCAAATCAATTGGTGAAGTAGTGAAACTTAATCAGTTGAGATGGTTGGGACATGTGTTACGTATGCTCAACCACCGACTGCCCGGATGTGATATGTTTTATAGTGTAGGAGTAGGTTGGAAGAGAGCTAGGGGCGGTCAGACCGAGACATAGTACAAATTCATGAAGTCACTGACAAGTGGACTGAGCCATGTTGGTTGGTGTAAACTACCTGGTTAGGATCCGCGAGAAGATAACAACCGATGGTTAGAGACCTTGAAATACGGATAATCGTTGAACAATCAATTGAATGGAACTCGTCACTATGAGAAGGCGTTTAACAGCGTGGAAAAGAGAACCTTGTGGAACCTGAGATCGTCATCATGCAGAGTTTATATGACCGACTACATTGCAAAGTCGTGCACGAAGGAAAACTCAGAAATGTAATCCAAGTAAAGACCGGTGTAATACAAGGTTGTTTGCTTTCGCCCTTTCTTTCTTCTTGTGGTTGACTGGATTATGAAGACCTACACATCTGAGAGGAAGCACGGAATACGAAAGGCAGCTGGAATCCAACTAGACCACTTGGGCTTCGCAGATGATCTAGCTCTTACATCCCATACACACCAACAAATGCAGGTCAAGACAATTAGTGTAGTAGCAGCCTCTGCAGTAGTATGCATCAACAAGCACAAGGAAAAAACCAAGATTCTCAAGTACAACACCAAGAACAACCCAATCATACTTGATGGAGAAGTTCTGGAAGAGGTGGAAACTTTCACATACCTGGACAGCATCTTCAATGAACAAGGAGGATCCAATGTAGACATAAAGGCAAGAGTGGCAAAATAAGAGAATCATTCCCAAATTTGAAGAACATGTGGGACTAAAAATAACTGTCGACTAATATCAAGGTCAGAATATTCAATGCGAACGTCAAGACAGTTCAGTTGCACGGAACTGAAGCTTGCAAAGCTACTACAACCATAATCAAAACAGCATAAGTATTTGTAAATAATTGTCTACACAAGATATTTAATGTCCGTCCATGATAGACGAAGCTTCTTCGGTTGGTATTAGGACGAAAGATAGCTTAATATTTGTCATGTTAGAAAAACTTGCTAGTGAAGCGAAAAAAACAAGCACATACTGTTCACTTTTGATATTTACAACCGAACTCAAACAGATAATACCGAAAGTATTTTTTCAGTCAAAAGCTTTGTATCTTCACTGGTGTAAATCTTTGATTGGAAATCTCCCGCACGATCACAAGCGACAGTTAGAGTGGGATCAAAAGGTAGTCGACCTATGAAAGAAAATTTAAAATGTCGAAGAATTGCGGTTAATTTTTCTTAAATATATTATACTAAAAAGACACATAAAATATATGAAACATCGATCAACAAGGTAAAGATGATGCAAACTCTTCAAATAGAGTTCACATGTGATGAACAGTTATTGAAAATCCCTAGCTGTTTATCGCCCACACGAATTATACTGTGTAAATGATATTTTAAGCATGCTCTGCAATAAATATATAAACTCTGGTTGGAAGATTTTCAGCAGACAAACAGATTGCTTCCGAAAGGTTCAGATGACTGTAGTTTGACGGTTTAATACGTTAACTGCTACCCGAAGATCATGGATTTACGTGAATTCCACCGCATTTGGTAAAAGCACCAATTATATCTAAATTTCGGTTACTTGGTTTGTGTGTGGGCTTTGATACTGCCCGGGTGCCCGAACCAAAGCAGGTGGTTTTCTTAAGGGACCACACCCGGAACCTTTAACCTAAAGGTCTGATCCACAAGGCAGTGGAGCATCGTGAGATGCAGTCCCATGGTAGCCGGTGACTAACGATTGGTTCATACGCCATTTGTTCCCTCAGGGTACTGGAGCCCATGTGCATTAATGGTCTGGAATCAGGGTTTTCCCAACTCCCCTAGGTGGACTCTCCGTGTCCACCAACCCGGTTAAAGCTCCGGAAATTCGCTTTTCGTCCTCTCAATTTAGTAAACAACACCCCTGCCACGAGAAGGCTGTGAGTAGGACTTCCCTGACAGAGGCTATATACGCGTGTCCATGTGAGAGTATTTCGAGAGGGTGAGCGGACTCTCCCCAATCTTGACCGTACCAGGGCATTTGGGGCTATCAGAAGCTAAAGGGATCCGCGCTCAAAATCCTAGTTTGTGTTTAGAAATCCGTGACACCCCTTGTCTCTTACTTGGTTGGATATGAATTAATAGATGATTTCGTTAATTTCTTTTACACCCCATATTTGTTTATCATTATTCACTTCCGTTTATATTCTTAATTATCTAATTATTTACATACTTCTTATTACTTAAAAGTCTATTTATCCAAGTTTGATCTACTTTACATGTTGAACTACTGACTAGTAGTTTTATTATCCACATTACTATCACACCTATCTTCTTGTTATTAGTTCATATTTTTATCTATTACGTGTAGTTATACAATCTATTTTACTGTGATCATTGACTAATGAATTGGCTTGATTGGTTTAATATTTTCATAAAAATACTCGTGTATATTAGAGAAAAGTCTGATGACGATCTAACGAAACAATATTGTTCATTTATATATGTTGTTCGCTTATACAATGGAAATTTATAGTATTTTAAAATACTGTGGGACTCCTAAGCAGTGCGCATCCACGATCCCGCCCAGCGGGAACATCTAGACCGCTGTGCCGGCATTCAACGGTTTCAGTGTCTAACTCGAACCAATCCACGAAATTAAGCCACATGTCCACCATTGTCTTCAGCAAGTTACTATCGCACAACAGACCCAGTTGAACTCCAGTGGTCACTGCTTATCACTAGAGGTTAGGAGTTAGCGCGCGAGATCGGTAGGTCCTAGGTTCGAATCCCGGGAGCAGGATCGTGGACTAGTATTGCTGAGGAGTCCCACAATAAGATGAAACGGCCGTCCCGTGCTTCCAGCTTTTCCATGTTGGTCTAGCTTCAATTGACTCTTGATCACAACTATTAAATTACTATAATAACCACAAAACCCCTTTCTGATATTTTAAAATAGTTGTTTGACTTTCTTAAATTAACATTTATTTGTGTCTAATAATGATTATATCAAATAGTAAGGTGCAGTCAGACATAAATTTATACTATTATTATACATACCCAAAAATCGAACATTTTTCTCAACAGCCAATGCTTCAGCACCTCCATATGAAAACACGTTCGTACACTGAGTACAATTGGGACATTTGTATCCACTCATATTTTCAACTAAACCAATTACTTTTATATTTGTCTTCATACAAAATCCAAGCTCCCGGCTTACATCGCACAAGGATACTCTCTAATAAAGAAAAATCACTCGATTTTATTCTACCCATAACTGTTGACGTTTACATAATAAGTCTATTTTGTTTCAATCACGATAGCTGGTTATGCAATCAATTATTTGCCTTTTTAATTGACTTCTCAAAATAAACACACACATTACTTTTAAACCAGTATGTATATTTTTTGTTGCCCATGTCTTACAATTTTCTGTCCAGTTTCTAAAATTTATTTCAACTTCACTAAATATGTTATATTAAACGTTCGTAAACATAATGCTACTCGTAACTAGGCTGCTTGAAAGTGACAGAATGTCTTGAAATAAAGTGAATTTATAATATTCTGAGAATCCTGTGCTCGTACAAGGAAATAATCGTATGAGAGAAAAAGAATCCAAAGTAGTAAATTATATAATAGCGAGTAACAATTAGTATACTGGTTGTCAAATATTCTGATAGAATTACATCATTTAGTATAATAATATATACTTAACTATCTTCTACAGTAATCATATCACATTATCATCCCGACCATTGCTGCTACCTTGACATGGTAGTCGAGTTTGCCTATTGTGATGAATCAATCGAGCTATACTGGTTGGAATAATCGTTCCTCAAGGTCCTACCATGCCAGACAGGTCAGTTGAAGAACAGCAAGACTAAAAGCAGCAAGCTCAGGGTCCGAAGGCGAAGTCGTACTGCTGACTGTACAGAGGTGTGACGGCAGTAAGGTGTTTCCTTCAAACAACCAGCATAACAGTAATGCTGTCTTCCCACAAGGAAGGGTGGAGTTAGAAAAGGTCGACCCTAAAAATGCATATCTCGCCTTATCCCATGGATATCGTGTGTGATCGACCTCAAGCAGTTGTTTCTTGGGCACTGCGGTCACGCTCACAGGTCACTATGACCACCTCTAACTTAATTTCGTTTTCAGGTACATCCAAAAAAGCCCTTCCACGGTGTGGGCTACCGGGAAGTGATAACTTCCCTCATACCTTCAACAGCACTCAAGATCGCTGTATTCATAATCAATCTCCCTGTTCAATCCCGATTATTCCTCCTTCATCGACCTTCGACACCAAACTTCCTCTTTTGGCTTCCTCCTCAAGTATCACCATAGCCAACGATTCTAGTGCGAAAAACACTGTCCCAGGTCTGATGAAACCTCACTCCAAACTACACATTGTAGCCTTCAACGTACGCACCCTGTGTCAAATCAGCCAGCAGGCCTCCATGGCTAAAACCCTAGAATTTCGTACCATTGATGTATGCTGTGTCTCCGAAACACGCACACACGGTGATAGTGTGCTCATTCAGTTGACCTCACCTCGCCAAATCGAAGGGTCGAAGAAATACACCCTCCGTATATCTGGCGACCCAATGGTTAATTCTTGTGAACTGGTGGTTGTAGGCATAGCACTAAGTACGAGGGCATAAGAGGCACTATTAAAATGGATCCCCGTTAACAGTCGCCTATGTGCTGTTCGGCTAAACGGTTCCGTAAAAACTCGGGAGAATAGGAACACACGTCGTTTCTCCCTACGCTTCCACTGACTGCAGCCCGGATGAAGTGAAAGATGACTTTTACAGAAAGATTTCTGAAATTCTTCATAAAGGTAAATACTCAGACATAGTACGCGTAGCAGGTGACTTTAATAAATAAATAATATATTTGTAACATCCCAATGAGTAGAAAATCTAATTATCTACTCATTGGGATATTACAAATATATTATTTATTTATAACAATCAACCCAATGCTCAATTTAGGTGACTTTAATGCCCAAGTAGGTAGCTTAAACCACGCAGAAAGACATTTGGGTGGGTATTTTAGTATCCCTGCTCAGCGAACAGATAATGGTGATCGTCTACTTCAACTGTGCTCAGACAATCGTTTATTTTTAGCAAACACTAATTTTAAGCAAAGCAAGTCCTAGGATATGTACTTATCGGTTTGAGTACTAAAATCCACATCAAGACAACGAAGAATAGAAACAAAGAAAGTCCAAATCGTGACGACAGCAGTGACACACTAAAAGTACGTATATTTTGAACGGGATTTTTCGCAACTGTCTCAACTGAAAGTACGCGCTGATCTATTGAGCTTTTAGTGAAACTTCGGAAGTATCGAGAAATTTATGACGTGTTGAGGATTATTGTGCAGGAAATGGACTGAAGAAACCAACACATTTCAAATCGGTCAAGCATTTTAGTGGGAGCAATGATTATGTACGGTCGGACTGACCGTCAACATTCCATGTTGATGTAAACTTTGAATGCGTATAATTTTTAATTCTTTTCATTTGCCGACTTACTGAACGGATGACTCCATCAAAACGTAAAACATCAAGGCACCTAAACCGATTGGTTTTTAAGGACCTCTAGAAATATATTGAGTAATAGAAACCCAGATAGGACAAGTGTATTGACAGGAATGGGAGTATGCAGTAAAAGATTAGTTTGATGAACTCTGAATTTGTCAAATCAGGTTTTTTATGAACTTACTTTGTCCATTCATTGGACAATAGGTAATTTGAAAAGAACTAATAGAAATGAGAAATTAAAAGTTTAAAAAATATTACCAATGATAACTTATTGAGAACGGAAGTTAATTCACCTGTGGAGTTGAAACAATAATAATGCCCACATCCACATCAGATGTGGACTTCTGTAGATGTTCGAGGACAGTTATATGTTCATCTGATGTTCCAGGAGGAGTATCAATGACCAGATAATCGAGCTTTCCCCAACAAACTGAATTCAAAAATTCACCCACCATACTACCTTTGCGTGGTCCACGCCAAATAACTGCAGAATCGGGATTATCTAATAGAAACCCAATTGATACCACGGGGAAGCGTTTGGTGTGTCCGTCAGCATATACAGGTAGCCAGCCTTCAGCACATGAATGGATCTGAAAACCAAAACAGATGTTCAGAAAGTAAAAAATAGAGGCTGAACTTATCAACTGATTTCAAAATTGTGTATAACAAATGTAAAAAGCTAACTAAGAGTTTAAAATAAGTCTTGAAGTCGAAACTCGGCCGCAGCAGCTACCCTGACGTGATGGTCGGGCTTGCCTATCTTGGTGACTCAATTGAATTATATTGGCTGCAACATATGTTCATATAGGTGCCAGCATCCCAGGCAGGTCCGCTGGAGAACGGTAAGACTAGAAACAGCAAATTAAGGTCCGAAGGTGAAGTTATAATGTTTCCTTTGGGAAATTAACATCTGCAGCGATAACGCCTCACAATGGAGGAAATGAGTTAGAAAAGGCTGACTAAAAATGTCACACCTTACCCCATGGACTTTCGTCTCCGGAAGTAAGGCCTTTTGAAGTGCGGAGCTAACACAACCGAAACTTCCCATCAAAAGGCCGCGAGGAACTGGGCCCAAGCAATCGTCCCTTGGGGTCTGCAGTCCTGCTACCAGGTCGTTAGGAACACCAGTAATTCAGCTTTTTTCATAAGTCCCTCAAGAATAAATATTCGTTTACAGTGCGGGCAACTGGGAAGTGACAATCGCCCTCATACCTCTATCAGCATCCGAGATCTTACTGACGATTAGGCCCATGCCTCACCTCTTAATAACCACGCTTTAAACTATATAGAGCTTTTACTTTTCGAACCTTGTGTCAGATAGGGCGACAGGCTTCTCTAGCTAGACTCTAGAATCTCGCACTATTGATATATGCTGCGTCTCTGGAACAGGTATTCAGGATTGAACTCAAGTCATATATTTGACCTCTACTTGTCATTATAAAGAACCTGTACGATTTGTCTTTCAAGTATCTAGAGACCCCATTGCTACTTCCCGTGCCCTCTCTCGTGGAGGTAGACAGTCGTTTATGCGTTGTTCGACTAAACGGGACAGTAAGAACTAGAAAAGATTTGGATACATGCCGTTGCCTTTTCGTTGTCTCTACCTACACTCTCACTGATTGCAGCTCGCATGAAGTTAAAGATGAATTTTATTGGGAAGCTATCCAACTTTTAAGAAGTTAAACGCTCTGATGTAGTAATAGTGGCAGGTGATTATGATGCGCAAGTAAGCAAGCTAAACCAAACCGAAAGGTACTTATGTGGATCTTATAGTGTCGCGGATCAGCGAACAGATAATGGCGACCGGCTGTTGCAACTATGGTTAGATAACAGTTTGTTTCTGGCAAACACCAACTTTAAACATAAAGAAAGATATCGTCTGATGTAAAGAGCTCCATAATCAACTCATCGATGAACCCAAATAGATCAAACTGCCGTTAGCCATCGTTGAAGGGGCTCGATTGGAGACTGTTACTCATTCTAGAGTACTAAAGAAAGAGCTAGTCAATCGTGAAAACGGTATCCACGCCGAGGTAGCTCGGAATAATATACAAGAAGCTAAGAAAACAGCAGCGATATCTACTAGTAACTTAAACCAAAAGGCTAAGAAAAGTCAGTCGATTTCAGCGGCATCTTCAGAACTGACAGATGCTCGGAAACTCATCCCGCCTGGGTCTGAACAAGATAAGAAGACGAGTAACTTAAACGTAGACTGATCAGAAGCCTAAGTAATGATCATGAGCAGTGGTGGGTAGCAAAAACAGAGTAGATGGGAAAGACAGCAGCGATAGTTAACAGCAGACAACTGTTCATACTTAAAAGGGAAACACGCATTAGAAATACGGTTGTTAGTGAAACTACTTCGGAAAAAGACGGGACTATTATTCACTCTCAATCCAGGAGGTTAAACAGATGGGTAGAACATTTTAGGAAACAGTTCGACTGGTCTTCAGAAACACTTCAGTTACCCACTATCTCCAAGCAACCGGAAAGGGAAATTGACTTAAGTCATCCAACTCTTAGTGAGGTTGAAAAGGCTATAAGTAATCTAAAGCCAGGGAGAGCAGCAGGATCTGATGGACCAACCCTTGAAATTTTTAAGGATCATGGTCTAGTTTTAGTAGTTAAATTAACTGAGAACTCAGCTAAGACCTGGGAACCAGACGTAATCCCATCTGACTGGTCTCGACCATCCCACTTTATAGGAAAGAAGGAAATCCTCTTGTGATAATCTAAGAGGAATCAGGTTAACTAATTTAGTGTCTAAAATATAGGCATCAATAATACTTTGACGTCTAACCATAGCTCGTGAAGAGCGAACCCAATGAATCCAAGATAATTTCAGACCTGGAAATTGATGTATAGACTAAATATTCACCCTTCATGAGGTTCTGGAGCATAGACATACTTTTTGATGTTAGACTATGGTTACATTCCTTGATCTTAAGGCGTTTCGCTCCGTAGATTGAAGTCCCGCGGCAGTGTTTGTCATTGAAAGACATGCCAAAGTATGCTAACCTTGTACAAACACTCTGTTCGAGTCAGAGCTTATGGCGAACTGTCGTCGGAAGTGGTCACTTCAAGTGGTGTTCGTTAGGGATGTCCGCCTTCTCCATTTTTATTTAACTTTGTCATAGACATGCTTTTAGAGATAACATTTTTATCGTCTGACTTTTCAGGGATTGATCTTCTACCAAGTGATTCACTTGTTGACTTTGAATGCGCAGCTGATATAGTTCTGTTTGATGTAGACGCTGACAAAATGTTGTCTTCTGACTACAGTAAGGAACAATGCAAGTATATTTGAGATGCGGTTATCTCCCTGCAAATGTAAAACCTTGCTTCAGGATCAACTTGCGTCAGCTCCTGGATCAGTGATGGAGAGTGAAGTAGTTAAACGCATCGACCGCCTCACTGATGGTCCAGTGTCCGATGAAATCTCTGTACGGATTCAGAAGGCTCAATTGGATTTTTCTAACTTGTATCGCTTGTGGTGTAGGCGAAATATCCATCCTCCAACCAAAGGGCAAGTTTACTGTGCGGCAGCCCGCTCCGTCCTACTTTACGGATGTGAAATCCGTAACGAGATACACCCTCCGTGTATCTGGCGACCCGATGGCTAGTTCTCGTGGACTGGCAGGTGTAGGCATAGCACTTAGCATGAGGGCGGAACAAGCGCTATTAGAGTGGATTCCCGTTAACAGTCGTCTATGCGCTGTTCGGCTAAACGGCTCCGTAAGAACTCGGAAGGATAGGGACACACGTCGTTGCCTTTTCGTCGTTTCTGCCTACGCTCCCACTGACTGCAGTTCGGATGAAGTGAAAGATGAATTTTACAGAAAGCTGTCTGAACTTCTTCAGAAAGCTAAACGTTCAGACATAGTACTCGTAGGAGGTGACTTTAATGCCCAGGTAGGTAGCCTAAACAAAACAGAAAGACATTTAGGTGGGTATTTTAGTATTCCGGCACAGCGAACAGATAATGGTGATCGTCTGCTGCAACTTTGCTCAGACAATCGTTTATTTTAGCAAACACAAATTTTAAGCATAAGGAGAGACATCGTCTAACATGGCGACCCCCTGCACCAAACCAACGATGGACTCAAATAGACCATATTGCCATCAGTCATCGTTGGAGAGGGTCAATAGAAGATTGTCGCTCATTCTGGGATACCTGCTTGGACTCTGATCATGCCCTAGTACGAGCACGCATCTGCTTGCGCCTCACTGGACGTAAAAGAGCCACACAAAAAAGACTCATTAGAACCGAATTGAGTAATGAGAAAGCCAAAAGTAGGTTCCAGGAACAACTGAGGTCACACTTAGGTAGTTCTGAAAACGAGACTGACCCAGATGTTGCTTGGAAAGACATAAAAGCAGCTGTGGAAACAGCAGTGACATCTACTTGTGATTTAAACCACGGGGTTACAAAGAACCAATGGATTTCTTCAAGGTCTATTGAACTGATGGATTCTCCTAAACTCATCCCATCAGGTTCTGAACACGATGAAGAGCGTAAAGAAATCAGATCTAGGTTAAGCAAAAGTCTAAGGAACGACCGTGAGCAGTGGTGGGCAACGAAAGCAAAAGAGATGGAAAAGGCGGCGGCTATAGGGAACACAAGACAACTCTACAGACTAATAAAAGAAACTGGAATTAATAAATCAAGTGTAAGTCAGACCATTTCGGAAAAAGACGACACTCTCATCTGCTCCCAGTCCAGACGCTTAGAACGATGGGCGGAACACTTTAAGGAGCAGTTTAGCTGGCCTTCAGCTACTCTACAACTACCCTCTATTCCCAGACAGTGTGAATGGAACATTGAAGTAGGTCCCCCAACTCTAGCTGAAGTTCAAAAGGCTATAGCTAATCTGAAACGAGGAAGGGCAGCTGGTCCAGATGGATTGGCCCCAGAGGTCTTTAAGGATGGTGGTCTAGTCTTAGCGATTAGGTTGACTAATATTTTAGCTAAAATCTGGGAGTTAGACGTTATTCCATCTAACTGGTCACAATCACTTATCGTCCCAATATTTAAGAAAGGATCAAAATCATCCTGTGACAACCACAGAGGGATTAGTTTGACTAATATAGTATCTAAAATACTAGCTTCGATAATTTTCGGACGCCTGGTCGTGGCTGCATCGACCACATATTCACCATTCGTCAGGTTCTAGAACACAGGCATACTTATCGGCGTCCGACAATGGTGGTATTCCTTGACTTAAAAGCAGCGTTTGACTTTGTTGACCGAGAGGTTCTGTGGCAGTGTCTGTCATTGAAAGGCGTACCTCAGAAGTACATAAACCTTGTGAAGGCTCTTTACTCGAACACTACTAGTCGGGTCAGAGCCTATGGCGAACTGTCATCTGCTTTTGCAACCTCAAGTGGCGTCCGTCAAGGCTGTCCACTTTCTCCTTTTTTGTTTAACTTTATCATAGACATCCTGATGGAAATAACGCTCTCATCGACTGACTTCTCGGGTATTGATCTCCTACCAGGAGGTCCACTTATTGACTTAGAATACGCAGATGACATAGTCCTGTTTGGTGAAGACGCTGATAAAATATAGTCTATCGGTAGCACTGAGCAACAATGCCAGAATGTTTGGGATGCGCTTCTCTCCCTCTAAATGCAAGTTGTTGCTTCAGGACTGGTCTGCATCAACACCTGAACTAAGGATAGGGGGTGAAGTAGTCGAACGCGTTGACAACTTCACTTATCTTGGAAGTCTGATCAGCCCTAATGGGTTGGTGTCTGACGAAATCTCAGCACGGATTCGAAAAGCTCGTTTGGCCTTTGCCAACTTACGTCATCTATGGCGAAGGCGAGATATCCGTCTATCAATTAAGGGACGAGTATACTGCGCGGCAGTTCGTTCCGTCCTTCTATACGGCTGCGAAACTTGGCCTTTAAGAGTGGAAGATATTCGTAAGTTACTAGTATTTGACCACATGTGCCTTAGAAATATTGCGGGTATCTGCTGGGATCACCGGGTAAGTAATAGTGAGGTTAGACGCAGGGTATTAGAGAATGATGGTAAGTCAGTTGATGAGGTTATGAATCTTCATCGACTGAGATGGTTGGGCCACGTGTTGCGTATGCCTGAACACCGATTACCACGACGCACAATGCTAACCGGTGTTAGGGATAATTGGAAGAAAGTTAGGGGCGGCCAAACCAACACGTGGCATCAGTGCTTGAAGTCACTAACTTCTGGTCTGAGCCATGTTGGTAGATGCAGACTGCCATGTTGGGGTCCGCGTGACTATCGTAACTAATGGTTGAAAACTCTTGGTGACTAATTCTTTCCTCTTGTACTATCTCCTTATACACAATCTTTCTTCTATATATTACCACCACTGAATTAACTACTCCTATGAATCCGGTGTTCATCTTGTTGTGCTAATGCGGTATGGCAACTTGGACCGATGCATATACGTGCCTGGTCCTACGTTGCAGCTGACTGACTGACGGATGTGAAACATGGCCATTAGGAGTAGAGAATGTTCTTAATTTACTGGCATTCGACCATAAGTGTCTTCAAAGAGTTGCACATGTATTTCAGGGCCAACAAGTATGCAATCTTTGGGTTAGGAAAAGAGTATCAGGTAAGGATGGTAAATCGATTACTGAAGTGGTAAATATTCAGCTGAAGTGGTTGGGACATTTGTTATGTGTGCAGCAAATAGTTCTATTCTTTGTCTTCCTTCGAATTCTGAGATTCTAAATTCCTCATAACCATTTATGTTTTCATTTACATCTCCAATCCATAACCTAGTGCCACTGATATTATTACCAACTACTATTCTAGTATTTGGTTTGACAATTTCATCTCTGTGCTAATGGAGTATGGCAACTTGAGACGATGTACATACTTACCAGGTTCTACGTTGTGATTGACTGACTGTGAAGTTGAAATATCTCTATCATCCATGTAACAAGTCTATTAACGGTAAAATGTGAGGCTAGAAGTCCCCGGTCTGTGAACTTTACTTCCAATCACTCCGCCATAATGTCAGAAGTCAATTTATCTAATTCACTCTGGAAAATGAGTGTGGTCAGAACTACTAATATATCATAAATAACCGAATATACGAAAATCCTTAGTTTGGAAGTTAACATGATATATTCATTTAAACTTACCTACACAACATAGTTGAATGAGAAAATACTGTAAAAGAGAATAGTCCTAATTAGTGGAAAACCTGAAAAACTACTTAGTATTGAAGCTTTAGCGATAGGATGAATAAGACGTGGTTAACCCATTGAATTGAGAACGACGCGAAATCATCGGAAGAACAGTTCAAACAATCCTTCAAACTTAAAAAGTGGTCGCACTTGCAATACACGTACGTGGCGTAAAAGCCCAACATCTGTAAGTTATAAGTCTTCATACTCAGAGCGTGGCTCATACCCAAGCAACTGGTCAATAATTTAACTTAAATTTACAAAATAAGAACCTACACATTGACCGAGGTAACGACGAGGAGGAATCTATGTCCAACCTGAACCAATTATGCTCCAATTTCAACGTGCTACAGGCAACAGTTTTCAGATAAATAATTCAAAAATGTGACCCAATCCAGTGTAACCGTGAAAGAATGAGCTAGTTTTAGAATCTCATCCCATACTTAGTACTTGACTCAACAACTTATTTTCTGAATTCTTACTTTAAGTTATAATCTTAGTCAAAATACTACTGGTTAAATGAACCCATGAAACAAAAACAGCGTCTGAAAGCTACCAGCACTGAAACAGTTTAGTTTCAAGTTTAGTACTTGGAGTGCCTAATCGACACATGTTGACCAATAATGAAAAATACGTTTAGTACCCATTAAGCCAGGTTAAACATTGACGAGAAACTGTTGGTTTCCTAACATCTGTTGAACATTTCTCCATCCAAAAGGGTTTTGGTAACCAATACAATTTACAGTTAGCACAAAACGTAACATTTGATGCGTTTAACTAGTAGTATATCAATGTCAAGGATTTTCATGTGCAGACTTAAAACGAATAGCATGATATATATAATTTGGTGATGAATTTTCATTTACATTCTTGTTACTAAATGAAGTAAACCGTAGACAAAAAAATTCAAAATTTCTTACTGTTACTGACTTTGTTGTTTTCCAAACCAAGTATACGAGGTATAGACGGTCCACAAAAGTCAATATCAAGAATACCAGCACAGAAACCACTATTCCATAGGTTAATGGCGACTTGAGCAGCAACCGTGGATTTCCCGACACCCCCCTTCCCGGAAGTTACAACCAAGATATGTTTGATGTTTTCTATCCCCGGATGGATTAAATCCTTATCAGAAATATCCTGCAAATAGATTTTATGTCTACAAAAACATACGGACAAAACACAAGTTGTTTGAACATTTTATTGATAAAAATACAGAGTAGGGAATGAGTCCATACACTTTTGAAATTGGTGAAAAACCTTGGTGCTATCCGTACCGATTATAAGAACTCTCAGGTCTGGAACTGTTGTGACGAAAGTAAGGACTACGTTCTCTACGACTAGCAGTCGGTGTGGAGCTCATGTGTCTACTGTATTCATTAGACCACCTTCTTTCAGACGGACGGTTTTCAAGGGAGACTGGAGGACCGTGTTGCCAACCATAAGGAGGAAGATTATATGATGGTAAAGGGTGTAGGTTATGTTCATATCGTGAGTAATAGTTATATCTCATTTCATGAACCAAATGTCGGTTACGCGCAGGTGGAGTAAGATTTAGGAATGGATCACGACGGTGGTTGGTATGATGAATATAGTCCGTACTCTCATTAAAATGACTTCGGTGAAGTGGTGCTGAATAAGAAGGGTCGATTCGAGGCCTGAAAAACTGGTAGGCAGAAGGTGGAACAGAACGTATCTTTAGATCCTGAAACTTAGAGTTTTGTCTTGGACGGATTCTCAGTTCCGTACCATATAACATGATCCCTTCAAAAAGTGAGCAAGCATATGGGACAGACTCCTCATCCTCAAATGTTACGAAGGCAAATGTGTCCTTAACAGTAACATCCTCCAAAGGTCCAGCCTGAAGAAAAAGTTCGTACAAGATATCAGTTGTTATTTTGGGATTAATGTTCCCAACGTATATACATCGATCCACAGTCATAGTACCGCCCTCTTAGACTTTCCCGGTTTAACTCTGTTTCAACCTCAATGCACGAAATAAATAGTAGTATGAAAATGTCGTAGTGGGTTAAACTATGTGCTTTAGGTTTCTGTTTCAAGACTGTTATAATCCAAAGCTTGTGTGAGAATGGTGAAATGAACTAAAAGTAGTTCTGAGTTGAACAGATATCATTACCAAGCAGTTTGAAACCTGTGATTATATTTTCGCTGGTGCTTCTCTGCGTCAAAGATTATACATTAAGATGGGATTTTCAGCCTTCTCTGTAGTACCGAAATTCAGGGGACAGGTTAAACAAACAATGTTGAATTTCCCCAAAATCAACCTTTCTTCGTTCATGCAGACGTTAGATTCTCATATTTATTGCTGTCTTCTTGGGGCATAAATACTATGTAGCGGTGAATAAATCACCGAAATAAGCGTCTTTGTAGCAGTGCAACGTAGGTTTTTTAATCTTAACAAACAATTGACCGAAAGCTCTCAACGAATTGACCAGTACAATCAATGTAATATATTGAGTTTATTAGTCTTAAGTTAACTTCTGTCTGAAAATAAATATTCTGTTCTTCAATATCGTCACCATATACCTGTAAAACTAATTTTGATCGTCGTCACTGCTAGCATTGGTGGGTGTATACCACTGGATAACGTTCATTACGACCATCTCCCTCTTTGTATTGATGATTGCTTTGATGATTCTGGATCCATGACATTCCCATTCTATTAATGCTTCACTTGATTCCCTGTACAGCACCAGTGTATTTTTGTCTTGGTGACCAGAATAAAAAAGAACCTCACCTGAATCTATCGTTTTCTAATCAGCGTGAGTTCAGTAAGTTTCACTTATTCTGAGCACCGTCAGTTTGTATCTCCTCATTTTCGTGGCTATTCAATTAGTTCTCCCAGTCTTTCATATTGTCCGGACATTCCATGTAGCTGTATTAACTTTTATTCTGGTTGTTAGAAGGGGCTTAGGTCTCGTGCTTCCGAGGCTTTCACCATGGGTCGTCATGTTTCTTCTAATTGAACATTCTTCAGCTTCAACGAGGGAGCTAAAACGGTTTGCGTTTTTTTCTGGTTAGTGTGTTTTGGTAAAGTTGTTTTCCATTGTTTCGAATTTCCCAACATGTGCCCATTCCTTCTCTACTAGAGCTTAGGGCTAGCACTAACCCGAGAAAGGCTACAGGTGGAATAAGAATAAGTGTAGATGGCTGATTAAGAACTACAAGGAAGGAGGATAAGATCGTAAAATCCATAAATAAGGAGATAAATAAAAAAGCACAAAACCGTTGAATGCTAATAAACTTGAGGTTTCGAAATTGTTGAATTTGTAGAACATGAAGTAGATTAAATTTGCAATATTTTGTAGTATGAGCTCCCTGTGATTTAACATGTACTTTAACACATATACTTATACACATATACTTTAACACATAATTTCTGTAAGTCACTCATTTATTTGCACCCTCAAAAATTCTAATCTTTAAATCTGACCTAAGGGGTAGGTGTATAAATGTGTGACCCAATGTGGTTTGTGGCTGAAGGTAGATAATGTTGTATGGAATCAACTTAACAAATGGTACCGCTAGGATATGCAGCTTGCAGGGCTATTCAACAAGGCAGAACAACTCAACATGCAATACGCTAGATGTATACATTTGTAAAGAACACAAAACTATTACCAGACAGTTTTAATTTATCCTAACCATTTCTATCAACCGTTTTTATCCATTTTATCCGCTCTTAGTGTTCTGTTTTTGTTTTACGGCCATAGACTTTTGCTAAAATCTATTAAACAAGCTACATCACCATTATCGTAAAGAATCCATGCAAACAACTCATGGAAATTAACTGGCGATTTGGCCGCACAGTCTACTCCCAAGAATGTTCATCGGTCATAAAAGAGCCTAAGAATCAGAAAAGTGCTTCGACTTCCAAACAACAAGGTCATCAGCCTTAGCGCACCCAATAACCTGGGAAAACAATAATGGTTTGTGAAGATTCTCTCATAATCCTGTACCTTAAAGACAGCCCTGACCTTCCCCTTAGTTCGCAGAACAAACATGGCAGGTTGCTCTGGGAAGAGTTGAACAAGAAGCTTGAACTTCCCAAAATAGAGCCTTTGGCGGTCACACGGCTCACTCAGGGCTACTTCGTGTAACAATCACTAACGCTACCGACGTAGAGGATATCCTAATAGCTAGTCACTTACTGAAATCAGATGGGAATGTAGAAATACTGTCTGACGATGTAGTCAGAGCTCACTCTCATCCGGAACATCCCTAAAGAATCTAGCGCGTTTATCGGGGGGAGAAATATAATTGTGTCCGAGAAGACACGGACCCTGGCCATCCAAACTCTGATATTCAGCGATGAAAGTCCATCAAACAGTCCTTGAATATCCAAAACATAAAAATTCAACAAATGGTGGGACTAACCAAAAAAGTAAGGGATTCTGGCCCTCACCTTAGGAATATAAGCTTCCCATCCACCCATATGCCAGCTACAACTCTCGAAGCATTCAGTGCCAACAAACGCCGGTTTTCCACTTAAATCCGTATGCGTCCGGGTAAGTCATATTGATGCCAGGGTCAAGCATAAAAGCAAGTCGAAGCTGAATATTCCACTTGTGGACTGTCAAAATCATAAAATACGCGTAGAGAGGACTGGAAATACCAACTCGGAAAAACCTGTGTAGGTAGGTTACTTGTTCATTCACTTCAGGCTCCTGCGGATAAACAGGACGGGGAAGCTCACGAGTTTCAAACTGAAAGCATAAACCTCTTATATATGATAGCCGTGAGTTCATTGAATGAAATGGTTGAGTTGTGTGAACTCAGTAATACTAATAATACTCATCTGATACGAATATCTGAAACATAGCCATCTTCGCAATTTGCGGACCGGGAGCTAGCAATATATATAGGGTGAAAACTCTAATGTGGCTCGTTTCTCCAACCTCATCAAAGATCTGGGATTATTCGAAAATGTGAAGTCGGTAACTCGCTGGGGAACAGTCAGTCGCTGTTTCGCTTAGACTGCGTATTTACAAACGAATAAGTCATAACCTACAACCTCTCACTCGTAAGAGGAAGGTTGACGTCATATACTCTAACTTTTCAAAGGCTTATGATTCGAAGTCTTGCACCAATAGCAGCAAAAGTGTCTTCTGAGCGAACGTTGCACTGATAGCGTTATTATTATTATTCACAAACATAAGTGCTGTGAAAAGATTGTTTCGGGTTTCTTCAAAAATGCAATAATACACAAGTATCAATTATGTTGGCATTATATTTGCTATATTTGAAAAGGAGAACAATAATAGTAGAATAACAATAAGTTAAGTTCTGTGTAATTGACGAGAATCTTGAATTGAGTTTAAAGAAAGAAAAGGAGAAAATAAGGGAATAGAAATAAAGGAGACATGAAATGCGCAAATAGTTTAATAAGCGTGTCTATGAACACAGAACAAGAATAAACGACTATGTATGTATCGTCAAATTAAAAACAAAAATAAAATAGAAAACAATGATGAAAATAATTATTATCGCAGTAAAATAAGACACTAGAATAAATGTTTGTGCATTCATAGTTTGGAGTGATGCTAGGAAGGTCTTAATTAAATGGAAAGGTGTGGTGTTTGAATGAACTAATGACTCCTTTGTACTTGTTGAATGTTTGATTTCGAATTCTAAATACAGTACATTCGTTAGTGCTTGTGTAGTACTTCTTGATTCAACTGCGTTATCCCTGGGATTCTTAGTTCATACTATAATTCAATTACTCCTAATTATCATATTGGCGTCACGATGGAGCCTGCGTTGGAACAGTTAGATATTCATTCAACTTCTGAAGCTTTTGAGGATTATTTGGAAAGGTTTGAAATTTGGAGCATGACCAAGAAGGATGTTAAAGGTGATAAAATTGTGGCACATTTCCTGACATTCATCGGAAAAGAAGCATACAGCTTATTGAAAACTTTGGCATATCCAGAAAAACCTATCTCACTTCTTTATGCTACTATTAAGGAGTTATTATTAAATCATGTAAAGTGCACTAGTTTTGAATGCTGTGAAAGGGCAAAATTTCATAAGATGACTCGTCGAAATGACCAAAAGGTTAAGGAATTCATCCTTGAATTGCAGAAACAAGCTGCCAAATGTAATTTTGGTGATCAACTTCATGTGCAACTGAGAGACCGATTAATTGCAGGATTCAACATACCGGGTTTGGAAAGAGAGCTGTTAAGAATGCCCAACTGTTTCTTTTCAAGATGCTAGAACTGCGTGTATTAGCTACGAGGCGGTCAATGAACTTGATATCCAGTCGATAAATATTTCTAATACTTTGCTTAGTCGTCATGGTGGAATACAATCTCAGGGTCAATCAAAATTGCGTTCGTTTAACAGTGGCTCCTATTCTCGTGTAAATGCGAAAAGTGTTTCAACAAGGAATTACAAAGAAATCACAAAGGTGAGACCAATTTTGGCAAATGTTTATCATGTGGAAAACTTTATTCTCGTAATTCATGTGCATTTCGTAATGCTAAATGTTTTAGATGTGATAAGAAAGGACACATTCAATCAGTATGCAAAGCTACTGTTCATTTTGCCTAAAGTAGTAATAAATCCTGTAATTTAGATCCCAATAATTCAGCTGTTCCTAATGATCATTTATTTTTGTCTACCATTTCGAAAGGTAATACTCATATTCAAAAGCGATTATATACATCTCATGGTTCATGTCATGACTTTATTGTGGACACAGGCAGCATAGAGTCCATTATACCATTCAAGAACTTGAAATC